ACAATAAACAAAAACGAAATAGATTGAGACAATAGTGCAATAGTGCAATGAGCAGAGTGTAAACTGTTATCATTATTATTATTATGTACATGTGTGGGTGAGATATACAGGTGCACATACACATACAAGCATATATTTTTGGATAAACAACATGTAGTGTACACAGTGCAAAGGATGCTGGAATACACTTTATAACAGAGATGGTAAGTAACATTATTGTAGTGAATGGGTCTTCCTCTGTGTTGTTGTCCTGCACAGTTATTTTACATTATTGAATATTATGTGTGTCACATAAGTTACAGAGACTGAGACTGAATAGTTGAGTTAAGATTAGATGGACTGAGTCGAAGCTTCGCAGAGAAACAAGGGTTGTGCCATTTTGGCGATATGGGGGTGCTCAAAAAGTTAAAATACAGCCTGTGACGGACCACCTTCACTACGGTTGAGTATGCGCTGTGACTGCCATACCAATGAGCCTGGCTCTTTGGCGTTGCGGTCAAGTTGCATTTTTGGTACCTTGTAGACCCAGGTTTAAATCTGGCTGGGGTGACTGCTCGTCACATATGGTGTAAGAAGTGGGATGGCTTGCCATAAAATTGTCGGAGGCGTACCACAGAGATGGGTGAAGCTAGTGTTCCTCTTCTGCCACTACCTACACATGGGTGAAGCACTAGTGGGTGGGGGCACCCTGAGATTGGAGAAGTACAATTCGCGGGACTTGTGACGGACGCCTGTATGCGTGAAGTGCAATGGGGCGTCTCCTGAAGGGGAGGACAGTGTGACGGCTGTTCCGCCAGTGTATGAATGTGTGTGAATGATAGTTTCTGTTTGAGCACTTAGGCTCAGTGTATAAATGAAAAGTGAAAGTGCAGATGTAGTGTAAAAGTGCTTTGAGTGGTCGAAAAGACTAGAAAGGCTATACAAACATGGAAAGGAGCATTTACATTTAAATAAACATGTAAAAAGAATAAAACTTTCACTAAAAGTGCGTAAATAAATCTAAAATTGTAACCCTAACTCTGGGTCGTCAGTGCGTATGTGTATGCGTAGCATGTAGGTAGTGGCAGAAGAGCCGTGTTGTCCGCACTTCGCGGGACTTTCGGATAATTTATCACTGTTGATGAACCACACAGAGTATTTTATCATTTTTAAATAGCTGGCTACAAGAAATAGACCCGCGAGGAACCGTGACGCAGTTTTTGGCAGCATGACATGCACACTAAACTCTGCACAAGACCAGTGAATGCCAGGCAGAGAGAGAGAGAGAGAGAGAGAGAGAGAGAGAGAGAGAGAGAGAGAGAGAGAGAGAGAGAGAGAGAGAGAGAAGGGTCTTCAAAAACCTCTTTTTAGCTGGAAAATTTGAAGTTCAATGAATAGAGACTGCCGCTCTGCAGCTTCTCAAGATTAAAGCTACTATATGTAACCCCCCATCCCGGATCGCAATCACCGCTCTCAAAAACACACATGACTCGACCAGCAGTCAACTATAGGCAGGACTTGACGATTCTGATTCGACTATATAAATCCTTAGTCAGGGACTGACCAAAAGGTAATGTTTTGAACATAGGGGAGGATACATTTCAGCAGAATTTCCTCGTTATTTATTTGGTAATTACATGGTATTAATAATAGGTACCTCTTCATTATCAAACTATTACCTCCCTATTACCATGTTATCACCGAGCTATAATGTAAAGTGCTACCGAATTTTTGGATAACTTAAATTTATGCATTATGAAGGACGTGGCCACTTTGAGTGACAGGTGGGTGACCTCTCAGAATAGGCGCAAGGTGAATCAGGTGAATCATCAATAAGGCAGATGGCGACAGCCGGAGCCGCCGGGAGCTCCCTGAATTGAGATTTACAGCGGCTGTTGGAAACAACGTCCATGTTTTATACACTTTATGATTGCACCTTATGAAAGTCTTTGTGCACTTGTTACCGTAGAAACTATGCAGATTCTTTTTGCCTTTTTAGGAGAAGAGCAGCCATCTGTGAGCTGTAACTCCAACAGCACATTTGTCAAGATATCCAAAGTTGCCAGCACGATCAGATCACACACACACACACACACACACACACACAGACAGACACTATTATCATCACTCTCATATGACCCTAAAAGGCAAATACACTGCTTTGAAAAACACACACTCACAACTTATTATGTGTAGAGTAAGATATGTACACCACAATTTTCCAATAATATTAGACTATAAATCTGTGTGTGTGTGCACGTGTGTGTCCTTAACTGAAATATGTGAATGCCTGAGAGAGATGAACTACCCCCCCACACACACACACACAGTGTATAAAGCAGAAGGACCCAGCTGGATCCACTCAGCAGAAACTGATAAGCAGCTATAAGAAGAGAATTGAAAATAGTCTATTTAAAACTGAGAATGAAGCTCCTGTTATCAATCAGGTGTTATCAGGTATCAAAGACACAGAGTAGAGAGAGAAAGAGAGAGAGAGACTGTGATGAAGAGTCAAACTTTCCAACAGTTACATCCAGCAGGCAGTTGCACCAGCTTTGCTCAAATGTAGCTGTAGCCCTTTTCATATGTAATGTTGGTGACTTTATATCTCTGCTAAAGTAATGGCTCTTTGTCGTTCAGACATAGGTGTCCATTACACACATGCTGGTTTTGCATTTATTCAGACATGACAGGAGACTTACAAAAAGAGACACAATGCTTGCCCTCTCCTCCTTTTGGAGGTGCAACAATCAGAAAGAAGACATAGTTGTCAAGCATAGATATTACACCCTTATCATGAAGGTTTGATGTTAAGGTGGCAGAAGGAGTGGCAAAAAGGGGGGTAAAGACAGATTTTATTATTCTGTTGTACCAGTTCTGTTCAATTAACATAAAATCAACTTAATCTTTGGATTTACAATTACAATAGCTAGTCTAAATGCCCCACTGTGACGGAGCAAAATGAGAAGTGTCTTTGTAGTTTATGGGAGCTGCAAGTTGTTAAAGGAGACGTATTATACTGCATTTCCAGCCCTACATTGTAGTTCTGTGACTCCTGTATGGCAGCTTTGCATGATTCAAAGTTCAAAAAATTTTCTAACCTATAGTGGCACTTCATGTAGGCCATCATTTCAGCCTCTGTCTGAAACAAGCTGTAGATGCTCCTGTCCCTTTGAGACCCCCCCCCTCTCCAAAGTACTAAATAAATACTTTTACCTCATTATTTGAAGATTTGGTCATGTTTAACATGAACATCTGACACTGTAACATTATAAATATGCCAGAAAATGACCCTGGCCTTCTTGCTGGTATGCGTGTGAATGTAGGTTTTCAGTTCATTTCCCCTTTTTGGTGTGTCTGCTGTGTGCTTGGTGTGTTTTGGTTTGTGTCTGTCTCTGTGTTTCTGCTCTCTCCCTCATGCTCTGAGGCTGCTGGTGGGCGCGGTCGCCAGTGCTCCAATCTACTCACCTGAGGCACATCACGTCAACCAAGCACACCTGTTCCACATCCTACAATCTACTCACTTTTAAACGCCAGACCAACCTTTCAGTCCCCGCCGGATCGTTGTACCACATGCCAGCCAACCTTTGTCCTGAACTTTTGAGTCTAGTCTGTTTTCTGAGGAACTGAGAGTAACGTGTGTTTTCCCTGTCTTGATCGCAGATACCAGCCTGGACCCCGGACTCGGATATCTCACCAGCACCACAAGACCCAGAGCACTGGAATTCATCCAATCTCCACCGCTGTTGCACTTGTCTTGAAAATAAACCTCCTTAAACTGAACTTAACTCTGGTTTGCGTTCTTTGCGTTGGAGTTCTGTCCCTCTGTCCTGACAGAAAATATGAAAAAGTAGGTCCCTTTTAATAAACCCGACTCATTCTTCCTTCTACTCACAAGAGGTGGAAACGTATAATTCAAAACTCGGAAGCTAGTTAAAGCAAATTATTTATAGGCTAATTAAATACTGATATAATGTTCTTACTAGCCATTTGTAAATTTTACAAGATCTCTTATGTCTGAATGTGTAATTTAATAACTGTGATCTCAGTAGTGTTTTTATTAACAATACCGATAGCTGCATCTGATGTCTGATACATCATTAACAAAACGTTTTCTAAATTTGGTCTCCATAAGATGACAATTTATGGTTGAGAAAAATATATTTACAACCACTGTTTAGTCAATTAATTAATTCTCAGAAGCTGGGATCCTACGCATTGGGCCCACAGTTCAACAAATTTGAATGTCTGTTACATGTATTAGCGCAGCAGCATCTGCCATAAAAACACTGGAAGAGGCATGTGTAAAAATGGTCTGATTGCAACTCAAGGCTGGGCTCAGTGTGGGTTAGAAAGTAAGACTGGTTTTAATTTGGAAGCACCTGGATGGAATCTGCTTTCTTTGTATAATATTCCTGTGAAACTGAGTAACTATAATTAACTATAAATAACTGCTAATAGCTGATTGAATCCAGTTGCATTGTATCCATTTGTATTTTCCTCATTCAGTTAATCTCAGTCAAAACATAACAGCTGGTGACTCATGATGTTATCTCATTGGTCTATCAACATAACCTCTGCTGATTGGTTCACATTAGACGAAAGAGATCAAGAGCTGGAAAAATTTCTACTTTGGTAGATATAAATGTACACCTGCAGTGTGAAAGTTCCTAACTCATGTGAAGTATGGCAGGCAGCTGGTTAGAAATCTTACTTTTTTGATGGAAAATAAAAAGCAAAAGGAGCATGGTGCCTATGCCTCAGATGCTGTGCAATAAAAGCAATAAAAACTGGGACAACAACAACACTTCTAAATAGGTTCACTCACATAACACTTCCCAAAGCAATCTCTTGAAATACAGCTTGAAGCTATTTTCTCCACACTAACAACTTTTTCAACAGCAGATAATGAAATATACCTGTAAAAGCTGTTGCACTGTTACACAACTGTGCAATGTACAGGTCAGTATATGCATACGTGTGTGTGTGTGTGTGTGTGTGTGTGTGAGTGAATTACTTACTGTTGTGCTCTGGTTCCACCTCTACATTTCCCAAGACCATTGCCGGGACGCCAAAGGCAGATGCCAACACCCACACACAGATATTCACCACCTGAAGACATGATAATATGATGGTGAATTACATATACAACTTTTTTTTTTTAAATGACTCATACAGATAGAATGGTAACAGGAATAGAAAATGAATCATTTAATAACCCCTTTCTCTACAAATGTGAAATGACAACTGGCATCACAGTTACACAAGAAGTACAAAGGTTTCTATAAGTGCAGTGAGTCTATTGTAAACACTGAAATTCACTTGTAAAAAAAGATAAATGATTATTTGATTTCTTTTATTCAGCTGCACATCAGTGAGCGATTGCAACAATTACAGCAAGAAAAGCCGAGTTGTAACTTAAAAGATTTCTCTGTTCCACTTACTATTGTTGATGTGAGGTGCACCTGGGTTTGATGAGTCATAATGGCCAACCGGAAAAAGGGTTGCCTTTGTTCATCTTGAAGTAAAACATTAATTCATTTAGCTGACTTGTTTATCCTAAGCGACTTACAATTGCTATATATGTCAGAGGTCGCATGTCTCTGGAGTTAAGTGTCTTGCGCAGGGACACATTGGTGGATGTGTCACAGTGGGGACAAGAACCTGGGTCTCTCACACCAAAGGCATGTGTCTTATCTACTGCGCCGTCACCACCCCGTAAAAATAAACTCATCACCTGAACATGGACTTTAACTCTGATTAAAAGCCTGATACGCTATCTCAATAATGACTCAATCAGCATTTGAAAAGGCACTTTTTTTTATCACAGGACAAAATGTTTACTTGTCTAAGCCAGTTGAAGACATAGCTAAAATAGCTTATACTTTGTTTTCTCAAACCATCACACACAGAGGTGTCCACACGAAGTATAGTACAGGCCAATATAAATAGACCCCGAACATGTTGGCCATGTGACACAGTGCAATGCCAGTTTAGAATTTACAATTACTGCACAGCTGTTTGATGTCAAAAATATGAAGTACGCTATAAAATAATGAACATAAAACATTTCAACCATCATTACCTCGATTATTCACTTTAAAAAGGATTTTTTTTTCAGTGTCCAAGTTTGACAACAAGTCACTTCAAAGGATTCATGACCTGACAACAATGTTTGACATGAGCTGAAGTGACATGACTTGTGGTCATTGCAGGGAGAAGGAAGACGGTGTGAAGGTTTTGAAGAGGTGAATATCTCACTTTGAAATTAAACGTTTTTACCTTGGCCTTGTGAGGAGTCCTCATGTCCAGTGCTTTGACAGGGTGGCAGACGGCCACGTACCTGTCCATACTCATCACTGTCAGGGTGAAGGTGCTGGTGAACATGTTGTAGTAGTCGATAGACACCACAGCCTTGCACAGAGCGTTCCCAAATGGCCAGAAGCCTAGGAACACATCGGTGCCCTGGAAACATCCAGAAATCAAACAATTAGCATAGAAATACAGCTGGAGGCAGAACAGAGGACTGCTTCTCCTCTGAAATATGACTGATATGATGAAGTTTTTTTTTATTAATGAAGTGGAAACAAATCAGAGTGCATGAAGTGCATTTCCCAAAAAATTTATTTACATGTTGTAGCCACGCAGACCACAATAACTGTAATTGGTAGGCTTGCAGCATTGCATTTCCTCTAAGTAGTAGAGTATGAATTCAGCACCCCCTACTCTGCTTTTTATTGACACTCACCTTGTTCTATTTTTTTGTCGCACTCAAACTGATTACAATCTAGAGCCCTGGTTCATATGTGTCATTTTAGGAGGCATGGACAAAATCCACAGGTAGCGGAGTTAATCTCTAAAACGCTTATATGTGTCAAATTGGGAGGCAAAGATAAGTGACTTATGCTGTTTAGGATGGAGGACTTGTTGCCTTCAGTAGTATTATTTATTTATTATTTAGAACAACTGTTGTTCTGGTTCCCTGTGTATAACCTGTTCATGAGGGTAAATTATTCTCACAATATTGTTAACAGTAAATCCTGCATCTGTTAAAGCACAGATATTTCATAATTGTACTCGTTTTCTCATACCAAATACACCTTCCTCTGTACTTTGACTTGTTCTGGAGGTTTGGAAGGTCCTACGGCATAATTTTTGATCAATCTTTAGTGCTCGCTTCAGTTTGAAAGTGACATTCTATAAGCACAGCAGAATGTTTTAATTCATTTTAATCGTATCCCGCCTTGGCTTATTGCAAGCTCTGTTGCCCTACCAGAACTTTGCTATTGTTGTTTTGTGATAATGTCAAATGCTCCTCTTTTCACCCTATGTGTTGTACGCTCCGCTCTTGAGCTACAGAGTGACGCATCTTACTTGTACAAAATCTTTGTTGGGAGTTGCACATGCGCAGTTCCCAGATAAGGACTACTAGCCAATCAGAAGCAGAGAAGGGCGGGTCGTAAGTCCACAACCACACAACATCATTGTTCCACATCTTACCATCAGGACTAAACGTTGAACTGTTGCCGGTGTTCTGACGATCTATGCTGCCTTGCAGAAAAATGCTACTATAGCGCAAATCGATAGACTCAACTCTACTCGGCCCTGCTCCGTTTTCCGTTGCAGATAGTACCCAGAGATAGTATGTAGCTTGACGCCACACACAACTGCCGCGACGTAATGTTTAATGTGACACACACACCAGTGATCCACACAGCTTTCTCTTTTTTAAGTTAAAACGTTTCAACATTCCTCAGAATGTAAAGACAGATAAGCGGTATGAAAACCTTCCAGCTGTGTTTTCCTCTGCCGTTGCTGCTGCAGCGGTCTGTGTGACGGCGGGAGCAGAGGGCTCTGTGAGCGGGCGGCTGGCCGGCCTCACACGCTCCTCCCACGGGTTGGCGCAGGCCTCCCCCGCAGCCACTTGCGGAGCTCCTCAACTCCGAAAATATTCATGCACATTTTTGTTCTACACAGCTGATTTCTCACCTCAGAACTTCTCAGAAGTGGATTTAGTGATGAAATTACATACCAATCAGCAGTCTGTCGTGTTTTCACGTTACATTTTAATATCCCTCAGCTCGCTTGGAACCTCGACGGAGGTGAGGTGATACGTAAAAACGTACCTGGAAGCAGGTACAGGTACATTTTCCACAATGGAAACCCAAACAAAGGCGAGTCAAGCCAAAGGGCCTCTGCTCAGACTAGCTTGGTTTGATGGCGTGACTGACCCCCCTAGCTCGCTTTATGACGCGTTTTCATTGTGACGTCACAAGTAAAGGAAGTGAAGGGCTGAACTACAAACGAGCTGTTTTCAAGCGGTACTGAGCAGAGCTTTCTGTGGGAGATGGGAACTCCCTTTTGGCTGGACTTTGGTCTTTTTCACTTTGCAAACCTGTTACATGCACAAAAAAAATATATAACTCAATAAAGGAGAGGGAAAAAGCCAAAAAGCACAATACCACCTCTTTAAATGACAGCCCTAGTGGGTCTTAATGCAATATTAGACCAGATATGTGTGGACAACAAAATGCAGGTACCACAACATAAATCAAAGAGTATTTTATGATCTAAAAGTTTACACAAATTTAAAATATTTCCCAAGCATCCCAAGTGACACAAGAGGCTTCATCTAAAGTCTGTGACGGAAGTAAACTTCATTCAAGAACTTAAAGATTGGGCAAAAAGACTAGTTCAAGAAAGTGTGAAACTTTTCTAATATGTTGCACATGTGTAGGTGTTTGATGAAGTCATACCTGGAAAGGTAAAGTAGCCAGGAACAAAGAGTCAGCCAGAGCCAGGTTAAAGATGTAGATGTTAGTGGCAGTTTTCATCTTAGTGTATCTGAGGAGAGAGGAAGCACAGAAAGAAAATATTCAGTCAAATGGAAAACCTGAGACAGCTCATTTTACTGTAGGTCACACACACGCACACCTTAATCAAGCATCTGCAGCTTATTCAGAATTCAGTCCTGTCTGCAGTCTGCATAACAAAATGAGACCCTGTGATGTGCTGCTGCTATAAATGGTTGGTTATAATGAGATTGGGTGGAAACTTTTATCCAGAGCACCTTGCTTGCCTCCTAGCAAGAGTGCGGACACTGTCAACATCGGTGGTAGCAATGGGAATCAAACCCCTAAAACTGTCAGTGTCAATCCGTATGCTTTGAACAAAATTTTATCGTTTTGGTTTCAAACCCAATATAATACAATTTTATTAATCTACAGGTAGGAGTTAAATTGCAAGATGAACAGTGGTGTTCATCTCTATTTTCTAGTGAGTGCTGCCTGTGGTGCTGATGTAGCTGGAAGTGGTGACTGTAGGCTTTTATTTCCAGGTCTGAAGAGCATGTTTTCTACTAAATGTGTAGTTAGATGAAACTGTGAGATGTGACAGCGTGTGAGCCAAAGCCTAATCAGAAGTTACACAAATAAGACTGTAGTTGACTCTAGAAGTTGAAAGTGATGTCAATATTCCACTGTTAAATGTGATTGTCTAAATTGAAATGGATTGCCCATAATATTGAAGCAAGCTGTGACACAGCATCACGTTTTCAGTTGATATGGTGAACTTGTTAGAAAACACTTGCTTATTTAAACATCCAGCAGTTACAGAGAAGGGTTTCTGGTTTCAGTGGGTTTTTGAAGCATTCTTCACGGTCAAAAATGATGCTATTAGAGTAATGGGAGTGAACGAAAACAGTAAACAATGCGCTGAAACGTGCTATAAAGCTCCATCAAGCCGAGGAGAGCTGCAGATGGTGAGGGAGGTGATAATTATCTGTAGGTTCGTCACTACAAGCAACCCCTTTCACAGTCACATTATTCTCACATTTGTTAACATACTGATTATATTCACTTTAACATCATTAAAATGTTGTTCTACAGCACTACTAGTTGTCCCAACCTCCACAGGGTTCCTTTTAAATCAGGCAATTTGTCCAACATTGACAAGACTAAAACTTAAAAGCCCTGTTCAGGCAACGACATTTATTGTCCCTCAAAATACTAACCTGGATGAAACATTAAAGTCAAGGATTCATCTTTCAGGGAGCAGGAATGTTGTCAAATTTCACTTTCACAAGATTGATTCTTTTTTATTATTAAAAGAGATGTTATGTGCAAAGTGTGTACTTTGGACATAAAACGTCAGGGATGTTATGTGACCCCTCTACTGGGCATTTGCGGCTTTTGTCTTGATCTGTTCCTTCCCCTGAGGTGACATGGTCTTGGTCAAGTAGGTGCTCAGCAGCACTCAGATGTGACCCTGTCATTTGTGGTGTTTTGTTGTTCAGTTGTCCTCTTTCTGCGGTTTTGTTTCTGTCAGGTGTAGTTCTGTATTTGTTGGTAGACTGGAGATAGTACGGACGGACTCTATAATGGGCCAGTGTCTGGTTTGCCCTCAGGCCCTTTGCTTCGTACTTCATACTCTGATGTCTTTCGGCCACACACATCCAACACAAATAAATGTGTTTACACAACACGGAGTTTGATTATATGTTATGCCCTTAGAAAGAGGACTGTATGAGGTCATAACAGTGAAAAATATCACGATTCTGCCTCTGCAGCTGAAGAATATCCATCCAAATTGTATGTGAATCTTTGAAATAATGATAAAAATCAAAAATGTGTTTGCCTCTTTGACTTGAGAACACAATGAAGGCTCTTCTGCTTCAGCTGCCCTGGATACATCTTTACAAAAACGCATTGCAGTGTAATATTTCCGCCACCCCCATCTCCCCCTCTCCTTACCCCTTCATTCAGTCTGGCCTCGAGCTCTTTTGCACTCTCCCTTTTTTCCTCAACACATCCCCTTCTTTCTTTCGTCCCTTCTTTCCGTCTCCTCCTCTGCCTCTTTTTTTCCTCCTCGTGTCCTTTTTTTTTGCCCCATCTCCAATTTCAGATGACATTTTACCTCTTTTTTTGGGTCTCTCACTCATCTATTCCCTTGCATCTCAACATCTGTGTCTTTCAGTCTTTTTATCTTCTCATCCCTCTCATTACTTTCCTCTGACTTTTAGTTCTCTGTATCTTTCCTCCTCTTCACTTGTTATCGGTCTCTATGCCCTCAGCTCTTTCTGATTTCTCTCATCCTTCCTGCCTTTGTCTGCATTGCATCTGCAGGTTTCAGGAAGCTGAATTGAAGATGTTTTAAATACTTTTATTATATGTTTGCTAAATTTAAATGTAAGACTTGCAAATAACAGCTGCAGCTATTTTTGGTTGCCTTTTTAATAACTGGCCAGGCACAACAGATGAAAATTAGAGTGACTATTAAGTCACATTAAAAGTGTTTTATTCCTTCCTTGTTGTCAAACTTACACTTTGCTGGTGTGAACAAAAAATGTTTAGAAATTTGCCCTTGATAGCACATTCAAAGAAACTTCACTAACTGAGGTTTGTAAGAGCAGCTTTTTAATTCGAAGACTTCATAGTGTCCTCATGTGTGCGTTCACCTCCTGGATTTAAATAAACAAAAATAGCTTATCAATGCAACTCACAATCAATGTTTTAGATGTTAGTAGTGTTTGAATGCACCACAGAGAGTTTTTGAAAACAAACATTAGATAATTGTCTTTAAGAATAGGTTCAGATTTTTTCAAAGTATCTTAATACTATACTATTCTCAAATTCAGCAAAAAGCTAATATGTCTTGTTGTGGCTACATGTGTATCCCCAGGATCTATCGCTTTGCTGGTGGTCAGGAGGAAACACTGTGTAGAAACACAAAGATGGAGGTTTGTACTAAAACCATTTTAGCAATCAAAAACACTGATGTGTTTCTTACATGTAGTGTTAATATTTCTTATTGAAGTAGCAGTAGTAGTATTGAAGAGCAAAGACAACACCAGCATCTAAACAAACCAAAGTAACATTTGTAGGTGTATATATACATGCCGTTTAATTTGCTGCAGCTGACCAGCTAAATGGCCATGTAGCGTGTAAACTGATGTTAGCAGTGCACTTTCCCCCGATGAAGTATTAGTGCAGGACAAGACATTTTCATGTTTGAGATTTTAGCAGGAAAGCTATTTAAAGTCTGTGGCTCTTGTGTTGTAGCAGGCTGCTGTGTGGCTGCTATTATGATGTCTGCCTATGATAGAACAGGGATGTTACTGCTGAACCAAACATGGTTTAAAACAAAGTGATCTAATAGGCTGTAATGAAAGCAAGTAGATGGAGAACTAATGGTAACAAATTAATGCAAAAATCCATCAAATGAATATGTCCCCCTTTTGGTTTATAATCTCTTTCAAAGGAAAACACATGGAATGTCATTTACACAGCAGATACAGTATGTAGAACACAGCAATTTAATTTCAATTTGAATTTAAGCCTCAAGCCTAAGCTGAACTTTGGAATGCATTTTGGCACAGAATGAGGACTGTGGATTTTATCTTCCATTTTCAGTGTCTTTCTTCAATGAAGGGATCACTTCATGGCCAGTGCAGACAGGAGGAATGATTTCAACAATAAATAACTCTTTAAGTGCGCATTTGGTATTGCTACTTTATAAGGATATACTTTAAAATGTTTAGAGAAAAATGATTTAAATTGAAATTATTCATTTAAAATAACTTTTCTGCCTCCAAAAAATATGACTGAATTTCTGTTGATAAAATCCTGTAACACCTGTATTTTGGGCTTCTTATTAAGGGACTTAAGGGAAACTTTTTAGATGTTTTAAGGATGGCCAGATACCCTTCATCTCTTTCTCACCACTTTTCTGTCTTTCTGCTTGTTTCCTCTTCCCATCCTGTCTTTCCTCCCTCTCCATCCCTTCTAATCCACCATCCACCTCCCCAGGACCTTTAATCCTTCCCCCTTCACTTTTTAAAAAACATTTCATCTTCTTTCAGTCTCTTTGTCCATCTCTTATCATATTCTTCTCTCTCCTCATCTCCTCCCCCTCCATCTCATTCTTCTACTTTATTCACTCTTCTGTCTCATCTATCTCATCTATATCTTGCTTCTCTCACACTTCTATATCTCCTCAAATCTTTCCTTCTCTCTTTCTGTCTTCTTGTCCTCCTCCCCCATCTCTTCAAATTTCTTACATTCCTACCCTCGTTCTCTCTGCATACTGAAGACTTGCAGGCAGGAGCGTCTTCAGAGAGAATATTTTATAGCTGTTCAGCTTTCCTCCCCTCTTTACATCAGGGACAGAGTCTACATGGTCAAACCCCCTCTGTCTTTTTTTTATCTTCCAGAACCTCTTGTCTTCTCTCTCCATAAGTGTCTTTATGTCTCTCTTGTCTTAGGTTTCTGCCTCTACGGCTCAAAACCAATCTCTCTTTTGCTTTCTATATCTATTGAAACAGTTTCCTGTTATTTAGCCCTGCTCCCTTCTCTCTCATTTTTCTTTCTCAACTCCACTTGTTTATCCCTCTCTGTCATTCATTGAAAATATGATTGCATTATAATAATGAGTGCAAGATGGGAGGAGTTGTGTTACTGTTTTTGTTTTTAGAAAAGAGGAATATATTTTTTTGCCTTACATGTGCACTAAAAAAACACATTAAAGCAGACAGTAAAGCAAAGCAGTGTTCAAATATAAAGGAAGAGAAAACTGGTTTCATGAAAATTTCTAAAGACAAATTTCTAAAGACAAATTTCTAAAGACGTCTGGCCGCTGAGAGGTGGCGCCTGGAGGGTCTAGGTCTCTCCAGTGAGGTGGTTTGCACCATCCAGGGATCGAGAGCCGCCTCTACTCAGTCCTCTTACTCCTCCACCAGTGGCCTGTCTGCTGCCGGGGGTGCTTTTGTTCCTCCAGCTGCTCGTGAACAGGGGTCTGGCATTCAGTCCGGTTAAAACCTCCGTCGTGTCTCAGGATTCAGGGTGACG